GGCACGGGATCTCCTAAAGGAACGCAACCGCGGCCCCTCCGACTTACTAAGTAGCCTAGGTTCGGAGATATACTCGCTTACCCAAGTACGTGCACGAAGATGAGGATCTTGATCGCCTGCAGCCCCAAGAACCCGTCCAACAAAAAAATCACACTTTAAGGGTTATTTTGAATGCAGAGACTAATACTAAAATAAAAGAAAATGATACAATTTGATGTATTTATTTAAAATATACGCTACTCGCTTGACTCCCAAGAGCCTATACCAGTTTAATCGATAAGATTAAGTATACAAACGCTGTTTGCAGCTAAGCCAATATTCTGGCCACAACAAATATCGATACTGCGGTCAGGCTTTAGTAATTATGTTTAAAGGGTCTACAACCCAATATTTACGAAAGTAGTAACTTCTACTGTACAACAATGTGTATGGTTAATCCGACGTTCGGAGAATTTACTAAGAGATGGAAAAAAAGACAAGTCCTTTATGATTGATCATAAATTGCAAGAGTGATTATTGGTCTCAGAAAAAACAACAACCTTACTAATTATCGCGTATAAGTTGTCATGAAATATATTTATCAGTAAATTTAAAACGGTTTGATGTATTTATTTAAAATATACGCTACTCGCTTGACTCCCAAAAGCCTATACCAGTTTAATCGATAAGATTAAGTATACAAACGCTGTTTGCAGCTAAGCCAATATTCTGGCCAAAACAAATATCGATACTGCGGTCAGGCTTTAGTAATTATGTTTAAAGGGTCTACAACCCAATATTTACGAAAGTAGTAACTTCTACTGTACAACAATGTGTATGGTTAATCCGACGTTCGGAGAATTTACTAAGAGATGGAAAAAAAGACAAGTCCTTTATGATTGATCATAAATTGCAAGAGTGATTATTGGTCTCAGAAAAAACAACAACCTTACTAATTATCGCGTATAAGTTGTCATGTAATATATTTATCAGTAAATTTAAAACGGTTTGAAATATTAGTAATAATAAAGTCATGCTTATACAGTTAGTTATTGTTATTGTTACATATTTGACGTTTTTATGACCTAATGCTTAAGAATAACTATATTAATTACTATACTATGCCATGATGTCGAAAAGTTCGCTCCACTCCTTGAATATAAATACTAAGAGATGAAATCAAGTTGTTATTGGTACCTATCCTGCTCTACCTCTAATTTTTATTAGTACTTTTAAACCCGAATAATTGCTGAACACGGACTTGGCAGTCATGATAGCTGCAATACGAGTACACTACATTGTAAAATTGAAATAACTACTGGAATAGAAACAGACGGAAAAAGATAACTTTTATAAAGAAATCTAGCGTTCGCTGATCTCTTATCGGACGGAACTAACGGGATTTTCTTGGCGTTTCGTTTTCTTGGCGTTCTTCTGTTACGGCGCTATCAGGGAGAGACGGACTGGAAACGGAAACTGACACGCGGATTTTTTACTCGTTCAAAGTTAATGATAGCGGATGAAAACAGAGTGTTTATCATGAGAAGTATTTTAATATAAGAATTCGAATAAAGAAATCCTGGATATGACTATCAATTCATATATTTTAAGTGTGCTTTCAATAAAGGATAAAACTCTAGTTTTCATCAGAACGTGCTTTAAAATATTCAACTTGACATTGTTTCTCTTAAAGGATTTTAATTGTGTATTTCCTACGGATTTAATTTTGTAAAATAAAATGCTGTTTTTTTAACTAAAACAATTATTATGACATGTTCAATTGTCGTTTTAAATACCCTTTAGATGGAACTATGAACAATTGCATCATACGTATTATATGTTGCAATAAATATCATCCTAATTTTGTTCAAGCCTTAGAAGTGGACTAATTAAATTAAAAGTTAATTATTGCATAAATCATATAAATTTTATTAGTTCTTTTAACTTGAATTATATGTACTCTACATGTTCAGTTTAGATAAACATCCACAAAACATTTATTGTAAAATACTGCATGATATTGGAACTACGCCAATAAGAGCTATACTCAATATATATATATATATATATATATATATATATATATACACACACACATATATATATATGTATGTTCACCTAAAACTCGAGAACCGTTAGTCTAATTGATATGATATTTAGCATATAATTATATAAAGGGCGACATGACCACTCCGACGAACATAGTTACGTAAGTGCCGAATAGATGGTACTGGTGGCAGTGATTTTTATCTTTTGAACCATAGATCGAATCGATATAGGTGAAGCGAAGGATATCAGCTAGTATATACCTACTATATTTAAGACATAAAATATGATTCAACTGTTTTGTAGAATACACATATTGTGTATAATCTTCTTCTTTTCGTGTTGATGGTAATACCTGTTCACACGGTATTGGCCCATAATCCAGCCACAAGAATTGCTCCGTCAGCTGCATTCATCAGGTCCTCCTGCGTGCAATTGGTTGGGCACGCAGGGCAAGACAAAATGTTCCATTATTTGGGGAACAGCCCTACATTTTCACTCCAAGTTGTAAGTATCTGATAATCCCCACCCGAACAGTTTCTCTTTACTTCCGCCGAAGTCTAATGCATGGTGGTGTTTCAGATAATGGAACCTGTATTTATCCTTCGATCGATCATTATCGTGAAGAGAAGACACTTCATGAAACTCCTGCAGCTTTTCAGTCTTCGTGAACAGTGGGTGGCGGCGGGTGTCATAGTTCAGACCATGCAGTCTTGCATGGTCTGAACTACTTCATACTGGACCTGCATATTCACCCGCAGAGAAGGAAAGTACCAGACCAGTGGTTCGAAGAACATTAGGTGAAGCTCCCCAATTCGAAGCAACCAGACGGTGCAAGAGGTTGTTTCTAGAATGGACCTTCTGCTTGATGTTCCCGCAGTTTGTCCTATAAAGACACCTTTTAGGACCCTACCGAGGTGACCCGGTGATTTAGCATTAAGTAAAAGCTGGTGGGCGATCTGGTTGGCAGTGACTTGGCTCGGCGAAACGGGTTTAGGAGGATCAATGGTTAGTTTGCGTAGTATGCGTTAGTAGTCCAGGCCTTTTTACTATTGTGCGTCATATTGACGCTACTAACAGTATTAAGCCAGCTCTCCCTTCACTTTTCATTTATTTTTCTAACAGCTCTTGGCCCATTAAGGTAGTCAGTCCTGAGTAAGGGTTTGAGTTATATATACAGCGACTCGTATTGCCTTAGTAGTTCAGCAGAATCCTTTGACAGCCCCTGGATGTAGGAGGTTCTGCAACCGCTAGGTCGGACAATAGGCTGTACCACACAAATTGGACCTGTGCGCAGTACGGACTATGGGTTGAAACACACTTTTGACGCATTGTGAGCTGATAAAAAATATTAAAGATTAAGTCTTTTCCATCGGCCGCTGTTAAAGGAAACCGGTAATTTGGGATTATGGATTAGAATCAGATCATTTGTATATCAGCCCACTCTTCTAATGCGTGTCCATTCAGGTCCGTGTCTTTGTAACCCCAGGTCGAGCCCCGGCTGTTGAAGTTTCCGATCACTATTTTAATAGGCTGGTTATTAAATTTTACTGGAGGATCGAATTGGATAAGTGTCCCAGGAGGCTTGTACATGGAAGTTATAGTGCAGTTTCCAGTTTCGACAGTAACGAAGGCGTATAGTATTCATATGTATTGTACAAAACAATTGAAATAGCAAATATATTGACATATATGTACCTACATAAATATATTGGCATATTGTTTGCAAAATAATTTTGAAGGTGCGTAGTAGTTGGACGTATTTTATTCTCGTGAAAATTAAATTTGTACAATGTTATATGTTACTCGTAGACGATTATTAAATTTTACGGTAGCTGCTTAATTTTATAATCTCTCACACGGATTATGTTTGATTTGACACGGATTTACGGATTATGAGTTTTCGCAAGAAGAATACACAATTTTCAGTGAAATTTTCAATGTATATAGTGTTATTTAACGTTTAAGTTCCTTTTATTAGTTTATTCAAGTAAAATTCTTGTTGAAAGACAAATAGGATATATATTTTTAAATATAATTTGGACGTTACGCGTGAACATAGTGTAAGCATAAAGTTTAATCAGAACATTACACTCTGTAATTTTTTATAAAATGTATGAGCTAGTAGTACTTTAAATAAATACAGCCTGTTACAACCTGAGTTTTTTAAATTCATGTCAAAGCTATTTTCTGTCATCTCATTATGAAATACATACAAGTTATTTCTTTCGGTTGATATTATCGTTACTAGCTTGTATTTTCTTGCTCATATTTTCTCTCAATTTAGCACGTTGATATAACATAAACAACCCATAAGGTATTTTTATGTTTTTGTAGTTCAGTATCCAGTTGTATAAGGGATGCCTCATAAATTGTTACGCCTGCTTTCGAACATAAGAGGCAGCCTGAACAAATACATTTAATGAGTGTGTAACGTATTACTTTTGCTTACTTAAGTTGATTGAATAAAGCTGCCCATGACAATGTTTATACGACGCTTAGGAACATCTTTTTGAAAACGCTCTTTTGCTATTAATGTTTTTATTCAGTTCACGACACTAATTTGTTTTATATTTGTGTGATTGCATTCTTCCAAATGTTGTTTTGAAATTCGTTATAGGTGTTAGCGGTAAAGAGGTTATGACTGGCGTTATATACTACTAAATGATTTGAGTAACCTGGTATAAACTGAAATAATTTAACAACAGCGAATTAAACACAATTTTATATTACATGAGTATGTATAGTAAAATACTATATACATTGGTATTTAGTGATGAGAAATTGGAACAGTAATTTCGCTCAAAATTGTTAATAAAAAAAAAAACTTTTAAGCATATATTATGCATATTTTGATCTTCGACAAATTTGAAACAATTAATAAATTATAGATTATAATTATTGTACATTATAATTACGGTAATAGGTATAAATTGTAGTAGTCCATTTCACGGATTATATTCACAACTAGTCTAGTAGACCGATTGGTGATATAGAGGGAAATGGACTGGGGTCCCATCGCCGAGTCTTCTTGCAATTCCGTTAATCATTTCGGGCGTCGCTTCACGCAGATCGTACGCCCAGCCTATACTCTTGAAAGCGTTTATCAACGTGGTGCAAATATTAAATGCGTCAAAGTGCTCGGCTGCTTTGTAGTCGAATGGGAACGCGTGGTGATAATTGTGCCAGCCCTCACCAAGCGTGCATGTCGCTACGAAACGATTTTCCCTCGGGATTATGGTCCTGAAAATTATAAAGTTATGCGCTGAATCAAGTTGAAAAGGTACAAATGTTACATTAATGTATCGAACCAACTGCAGGATTGTCTCGCTATATTAATGAATATTTTATTATCTCTATTTATCTATATTTAAATAAAGTAATTTAAATAATAAACAAGTTTCTGAATTTTAACCAATGGTTTGTTCAGTGCTAATTAAAACCACTAGGGTAGGTTATACAGGGCTTGCGCCAGTGTTAAATTTAATGATGAAAGTAATTACATTTTTGATGTATGTATGAACTTGTCAACTAGCAATGAATCCAACGTGCAAGTGCACCTACGCAAATGCTTATCAATTAGTTTTGAGTTTTAAGCGACGAAAATAATAGAAAATTGCGAGGCAAAAGGCTCTTATTCATAGAAGGTATCCATTCCTTCACCACGGGTAGGTGGTGATTTGGTCCTGCTAATAATAAAGTAAGGTTAAGTAACAGCCTATAAATATCGCACTGCTGGGCAAAGGCCTTCTTTGTACAGAGGGTATTAGGACATAGTCCACCACGCGACCCCACTGCGGATGGGTGGACTTCACATGCACGTGAGCACGTGATAGATAAGTCAGCACTTAAATTTAACAATGTTATGGGTGCGCCGGCACCGTGGTTCGAACTCAGGCTGCTCAAGTATATTGAATTAAAAGCAATGAGCTATCACAACTGCTAATAAAATTGATATATTAAAGAATTGTACGAAATTCTGCACGTATAAGAACTTTTAAAATGATGTTAAAAACGGTTTAGTATGCAATCCAATGATAATTAAAATAAACTTTTTAAATAATTTTTCATTTGTTTATGTTTCCTCCATATAAAGTAACACATGTGATGATTACATACACATTTATTTTCCGTGCTTATTTTTTCGTGATTATGTAAGACTCGCTTTATTCGACCTTAGATCGAAACGAATTAGACATAACTTATAAACGAATAATACTCGTAAATAAACAAGATGGCTTTGCTTTCCAATAAATAAAAAACTGACAGACTCAAGATGTTCTAAAACTATATGCATACATACTTGTTATATGGTCTGTATCCATAAGCGTGCGCTAAGCTGTTAACAGTGAGTTCACTGTGAAACATACTAAGGAAGCGTAGGAAGCACTGCCAGGCCACAGCACAGCGCCAGTCCTCTCCCCACAACCATACGCCTGCCATCGTCGGCAGAACGTAGCAGAACATAAGTTTGAAGTAGTTGAAATACCTGAATAGTAGTAACACGGCATGATATTAAACGTTAATGTTGCGATTTCATGAAATCTATCAATTAGAAGCTGAGAGGTGTCGTGGGATCATAGATTGGAATGGAGTTCCTTTCACTACATATTCTAAGTAAACTAACAGGCACAATGACATAAATTAACAATTGTTGAGAATTAGTTACTTAATGAAAATTAAAAATTTAGGAACATTATTAACATTATAATTATTGTGAATGTTTTCGTAAAATTAGCCGTAACTAAACCTATACACATACATACGCTTGTAAGCACAAATACGTATTCTAAAGTGAAAGTGTCATGATGGTCAAAATGTTACACATTTTTCAGTCTAGCTTTCCTTCGTCAAGTGTGCAGAATATTTTAAAAGGAAATATCAAATTTCGATACGAATATTACCTTGAGCTAGCCGAGTGCGGCTGTCGTTTAATTTGTGATTAGGTAAGAGACATTACCGATTGCGAAGCTGTGATTCTTATGTTTCTAATAATTTCGAACTTAGAAAAGGTAAAAGTCCTTTAGTTTAATACTTAAAGGATGCTTTTGGGAATGCTTTGGGTCACTGCTAGCGAATATAAAACGCTTCTGTAATCTGTTATTTATAAAATGTTTTTTTTGGAAAGAGAAAATGGATCCATGCTTTCATCAAATATTTGCATCAAAACATTTTCTTCAGTCATATTTAAAAAAATCACATATTTTAATTAACGTCATATCTAACATTAAGGGATATTATTACCTCAATATCGTATCATCTTACATTGTTAAATTTTGGTGCTTTTGAAGTTTTTGGATGGACGGTTATTAAAATTGTGAAAATTTTATAAAAATTATATCGTTCTTCTCTTTTATTTACTTACTTGTTGTAAAATCTAAGTAAGGGGTCGGCTTCAATATCGCTCATGTCCATTTGGCTGCCTCGCAGTAGGACTTGGGAATTTTTTCTCATCATCAGCCAACCTATGTGCGAGAAGAACAATCCTCGGTTGGCGTTGTGGGGATCAGCCTCCGTGTCACTATATTTGTGATGAACTCTGTGGTCGCGCACCCATTGGTAAAGTGAATTCTGCGAAAATATAATCAAAAATGCTTACACCATTTCTTTTTTGAAGTAACAACTTCTACAAAGATTGTTACTGCTTTTTAAGATTAGAAAAAACTCTAATGACTTTATGAACCTTTCATTATTTCTCGGAGGTTAATTAGCAACTTTTTAATATTCTATAAATAAAATTATTATCTCAACTTTTTTTTCTTTACCTGACCCGCACTAGAGTAGCAGAAGAGAAGGAAGAGTTTTAGAGGCAACGTAGCCTTGTAAGCCTTGTGCGTCCACAAACGATGTGCTCCTCCCGTAATGCCGAAACCGGTTAAGACATACATAACCGCCGCTGTCAAAAAAATTATAAACAAAATTTTTAAGAAAAAAACGCAGAAAATATCAATATAGTTCTTTTTTTAAGTAGATATTTACCATAAAGCACGGTCTGCCATTTTACTGGTAACGCATAATGATAACACCAATACACTGCTAAAATATGGTATAGAATAATAGCAATGGCGCTAGGCCATTTTATTTCATTTTTGTACCCCAAGCGCTTCTCTATTACGCGTAAAAGTTCACCCAGTGACAGCTGTAGTTTGTTATTTGCTTCTGCTCTCATGGTTACCACAACCGTTCTGGGTAAAATATATCAACACTTTAGTTTTCTTCGCTGGAAGGATTTAAATAATAACAATGCGTATTGTAAGAAAACTTTCAGCTTACGAAATCTTCGATCGATACGCGCGACCCATTTGTTTGCTAACGAGTTACGGATCATTGCTTTACCCGTTGTAAATGGATATTCGAAGAATTTCAAAATAATATCTAAGAAACAATAAAGTAGTCGGCTACTTCGGGAATAGTACGCCGCGGACGGCTTACTATTCCGAAATACGAACTGTACAGTCTATACCTTTGCCCAGCTATGAGTAAATGATACAACATCTTATGATATATTGATTATATTTTTTTACTGTGTGCCAACTACCTGAACTGCCGAAGCGCTTTTGCGCCAAACTGTGGTTTGGGCAAAAGCGCTTTTGGGGTGTTGGCTGTCAGGAAGTGAACACAAATAAAAAATGGTTTTCGTTATGCCATTTTCTAGCAATTCTAACAATAATGTAGCTCGAAAATGGCATAACATAAACTGTACCGTGATGGGCGGGGCTTATAAACTGTACCGCAAGGCAGTTTTAGTTCATTCCTGACAGCAGACAGGCCCGGACGTCATTCGCTTCGTGCTTCCACACAGAACGGACGTAACTCTGAGCCGGAGGGCCCATGCCAACCGACCCGGAAGCCATTTTGCAACCGTTGTTGCTACCTATATTATTTCTTTTATATCTCGGTGTGCACTGCTTGCCTCATCGTTGTCGTGTTTCGCGGTCTACGGTTAGGGAAGTCTCAAGCAAGAAGAGTGAAGAATAATTATAGAAGATAGAAGAATCGTTACAGAAGAAAGAAGACTTTGCCCGACTTCCGAGCGGATAGTGTTAGTGTAGTGTTGTGCTCGTAGGTAGGTTCCTGTCCGTAAGTAGAATTCTACACACATTTCTCGTCTCAGAGGCGGCATTGTAATTTTTATCTGTGTGTGCTTGTTGCATTAGGCGACAGCTAGGTACTCACCCTAGCGCACCTAAAGCGCAGGCGATTAAAGGTTAATTTTAGGCACACACCTCCCTGCCGCAAGGTGGGGAGGCCTATTTAAAAAAACCACACGCCGGCGGGGCGCAAGCCCCAAAGGCACAAGCGTCGCAATGGGTTCCCTCTTAGAGGAGTTCCTGCGGGAGGAATGCCCCGAAATATGGGCAAAATTCCTCAATTTCGCGAGGGAACGGCGCCTAGCCGTCGAATTTGCTAGCGACAGTCCGGCTTCACCGGCTGCCGTCTCGCCGCCATCTCCGGTGCCCTCCGCGCCAGTTATTGTGTCGCCCTCTGCGACAATTAATACGCCCGTCGCGTCGACCTCCGCCGCCGCGATCGATCTCAACGCGCCTTCCGCGCAATCCAATTCGGCCCCCTTCTGCGCTGTCGTTCCCGACTCAAAATCGGACGGCGGCTCAGACATGGAGGTCGAAACGACCCCCGCTAATAACGCGAACGCCGACGGCTTCACCGTCGTCAAATCGCGGAAAAAGGGCAAGAAACGCCCCGCCACCGACAGCGACCCCGAAAGCGAGGCCGCCCCGTCAAACCGTCCCACCGCGACGCCCGCCAAAAAGGCAGCCGCGTCTGCCCAGTCGGAACCGACTTTCGCCTCCGAGCGAAAAATTAAGCCACCGCCGCCTATAATAATACAAGATAAGGCAAAGTGGCACCAGGTTTGTTCGTGGTTTGAACGCCACAACATCCGAGACCCCCGGTCCAAGAATACGCATATGGGTATCCGCGTATACCTCAATTCTTCGGACGACTTCCGTCGCGTAGCTAAATACTTGCGCGAAGCTAAGGTAGGTTTCCACACCTACTCTCTACCCGAAGAGCGCAAACTTCGGGTCGTAATAAAGGGCGTCCCAAAAGAGTCGGATGTCGATATGGCTAAGGTCGACATCCGCACTCAGGGATACCCTGTCCACGCCGTGCGCCGTCTCAGGCACCCTCGCACCCGTGTCCCTATGGACATGGTCATGGTGGAACTTGACCCTACCCCGGAAGGTAAGGCCATTTTCAACCTCAAGAGGGTCTGTGGGCTCAGTGACTTAGTCATCTAGCCCCCACGTAAGTCAGGTGTTGTGGCACAGTGCCACAACTGCCAACATTTTGGCCACACGGCCAATAACTGCTTCGCTCACCCAAGGTGCGTCAAATGCACCGGTGACCACGGCACAACTGAGTGCACGAGGCCGAAAGATTGCGCAGATCCACCGGACTGCGTAAACTGTAACGCCACCGGCCACCCGGCTAGCTACAGAGGCTGCGCTAAGGCCCCGAAAACTCCCGCGAGGAAATCTCCCGCGAAATCGACGTTGCCCAAACCCGCGCCCGTTAAATTCATTCCCGCGCCCGTACCCGTCGTAAACGCCTGGGCGAAACCCCAGGTGGCCGCGCAGGTAGCCGCGCCGGTAATCCCGGTCGCCTCACGACCGATCGCGAAACAGCTGCCCGCCTCTCAAACGGCGCCGCGGCCGCAGGTGCAGCCAATCCCGTCAGTTTTCGCGGAAAACAAAGACGACCCATTCGCGCAAATAGCGAACATTTGCAGTTTATTGGATACAATAAATAGACAGGAACTCGCCGTATTGTCCGCTAAATTAGCGGCCGCCACATCTGGCCACGAGCGTCTTAGGGCAATTAGCCAACACAAAACGCTTGTGGAAGCCCTTTGGGCTTTTACGAGCCAACCATAAAGATCAATAGTCCGCGCAATAAAACCGCGCTCCGCCGCGTCGTTAATTAGACCCATAAAGGCACCTTAATGGGAAGTACAACCGCAGGTAAAACAAAACCTCGGGCTCTGGTTGTTTGGTATTTCAACGCAAACGGCATAAAGGGTCAAAGGGATGAAATCGCGGAATTCCTTCGCGATTATAATGTAGATATTTTCCTAGTGCAAGAGACATTCTTGAAACCTAGCGTACGCGATCCCAGAATCGCAATTACAATATTGTCTGCCACGATCGGTTAGCAAACCGTCTGGGAGGCACACTAATTTATTATAAACGGTCCTTGCACTGTTGCCCGCTCGACATTCCAGAGCTAAATCAAATAGAGGCATCCGCGTGTAGGTTAGCGCTCACCGGCCACAGGCCGCTTGTACTAGTCTCAGCCTACCTCTCGGGGAATAGAACCCTCCTTCAAAGCGACCTAGATACGCTTCTAAACTTAGGCCCTTCCGTGATAATTGCAGGAGATCTAAACTGCAAACACGGCTCATGGGACATTAACAGCATCCCAAACAACAACGGAAAGCATCTCTTTAGCTTATCCGATAACCTAAATTTCAGCATAGTCGCTCCCGCGACTCCCACTAGGTATCCTACGGTGGACAACTACCAGCACGCGTCACCGAGTGTCCTAGACATAATGTTATTCAGGGAGGTCTCGCTCGACATCGAGTCGATAGAGACAATCCCTACGGTGAAACTGTCGGGCGACCGACAGTTTAACTTTCCGCCCGACCTACGACTGCTAATTAGACAAAAAAAAATGCAGCTAAACGCGCCTTCGACCGATACCGATCGGAATCGAACCGAACTCTACTTCGACGCCTTCAGCTAGAAGTCAAAGATCGTGTATCGGAACACCGACATACAACGTGGGACACTCTCCTAGAGGACATCGAGCCATCGCACACCGCCTACTGGCGGTTGGCCCGCAGTCTGAAAGCAGACCCCCGCGAATCTCTACCGCCGTTAGTTAGACCTAATAGCGCTTCAGTAGCCCTAGATGACTCCGAAAAAGCCGAATGCCTTGCGGACAACCTAGAGCAGCAATGTACGCCATCGCGCGAACACACCGATTCGGCCCACCTAACGGAGGTGGACCGCGTAATCGAGACTAGGGCTGCGCTTCCACCGGAAGGCGAACCTCTAAATTCAGTGACCCCCGAAGAGGTCCAAGATATAATTAAAAATTTAAAACCAAAATCCGCCCCGGGCCCAGATAATATAAGTAATAAGATTCTCAAAGCTCTCCCTGGGCCGCTTATCTGTTTACTGGCGACAAGTTTCAATACGCTTCTCTCCAGTTGCTCCTTTCCGGACGACTGGAAGCAAGCCACGGTTATCGGCATTCGCAAGCCGAATAAACCAGCCAATAAGCCCTCTAGCTATCGTCCCATCAGCCTCCTCAGTTGTCTGGGGAAGCTCTACGAGCGGCTATTGTTAAACAGGCTCAAAGAGCACGTATTTTCCAACGGCCTTCTGCCGACGGAACAATTCGGCTTTCGAGCTAGACACTCTTGTCCAGATCAGTTATACCGCCTAACGGAGCACATCCTAAAATAATAATAATAATAATAATAATAATAGTTCTTTATTTGCCATAACCAAAAAAAAGCAAAGAAAAATATACAGAAAAAATATGAACAAACAAAAAGAAATATATAAAATTAACCTATAATACACAAAAATATATAAATTTCATTTTGGCAAAAAGGTAATAAGCTCAGCGATATCTAAGAATTTCTCAGTGCTGATTTTCAGCTTATCCCTTCTTAAAACTTACTACCTACATATTAGATTTACTTACATTTTAAGATTGACAGCGGTAGTTGGCATATTTTTTTTCAGTAAGCTCTCAATACTATGATAATAACAATAATGTGCATCTAAAGATTACTACTGTACTGAACACCAAGGACAAGAAGACAAAAAAGATATATATATACTAGAAAAAC